TTGTTACTCAGGGACACAGAATTGTTACTCAGGGACACAGAATTGTTACTGAGGGACACAGAATTGTTACTCAGGGACACAGAATTGTTACTCAGGGACACAGAATTGTTACTCAGGGACACAGAATTGTTACTCAGGGACACAGAATTGTTACACAGGGACACAGAATTGTTACACAGGGACACAGAATTGTTACTCAGGGACACAGAATTGTTACTCAGAGGGACACAGGAATCGTTACTGAGGGACACAGAATTGTTACTCAGGGACACAGAATTGTTACTCAGGGGACACAGAATCGTTACTGAGGGGACACAGAATCGTTACTGAGGGACACAGAATTGTTACTCAGGGACACAGAATTGTTACTCAGGGACACAGAATTGTTACTCAGGGACAGACACAGAATTGTTACTCAGGGACACAGAATTGTTACTCAGGGACACAGAAGAATCGTTACTCAGGGACACAGAATTGTTACTCAGGGACACAGAATTGTTACTCAGGGACACAGAATTGTTACTGAGGGGACACAGAATGTTACTCAGGGACACAGAATCGTTACTCAGGGACACAGAATTGTTACTCAGGGACACAGATTGTTACTCAGGGACACAGAATTGTTACTCAGGGACACAGAATCGTTACTCAGGGACACAGAATTGTTTACTCGTTACTCAGGGACACAGAATCGTTACTGAGGGACACAGAATTGTTACTCAGGGACACAGAATTGTTACTCAGAGGGACACAGAATCGTTACTCAGGGACACACAGAATTGTTACTCAGGGACACAGAATCGTTACTCAGGGACACAGAATCGTTGAATTAAAGAGTATGTCAGACAACACGCAGAGGAGTGGCAGAGGAGGCAATGTTTCAGAGCGCGAGCAGACGTGGCAGCAGAGGAAGGGGTCGAGGGCAGCACTAGTCGCAGCCAGAGGCCAGTGCTCCCGGTGTCATCCAGCGGTCGTGTCTCCACCGACAACCCTGCCGTCATCGATTGGTTGGCTCGGTCGTCTTCCTCTTCCCAGGTCACCTCTGACACCTACAGCCAACGGTCGGTGGGTACGTCAGACACAACCGTTAGTTGGCATGGCCCGGGAGCAAGCCCACTGAAATCACGTGTCCTCTACCTGCCCCTGTCCTTTGGTGTTCCCTCACCAAGCGAAGTATCGCATGCTGTGGGCTCAGCCCCACTGTACAGTGAGGAAGAGCTAACAGAGGGCGGTCAGGAACGGGGGGAGACATCCGCCTCTTCAGCAGCCAGGCGAAGAAGTACTGGCGAGGAGAGTGGCTCGGTAGCCGGTCTAGAGACAGGTCTGTCTCCTGACCCACACGCAGCCGAGGGGGGTAGTAGTGAGGCGGAGACCCTAATTGATGATGATGAGGCTGATCGCACTTGGCAGCCTCGTCGTCATCAGGCTATTGCTTCCGCATCATCAGGAGAAGAGGGTGCCAGCTTGGCAGCAGAGCAAAACAGTCGGTGGGTTGCCCAGGAGGCAGCAGGGTCGCAGCAGTGTCAGTGGAGGCAAACGGCCACGGGAGTAGAGCACCAGCTCCACTGCAGCCTACCACCACGGCCAGTAGTGGTGCCGGTGTGCACGGAGGAAGTAGCAGTCAGCCAGCCAGTGAGGAGTAGCGGGGGCAAAGTTTCCTACTCGGCGGTGTGGCAATTTTTCGTCAAGCCGCCCGAGGGAAGTAAACGTAGCCGTATGTCGACTATGTGGCCAGAAAGTCAAGCGTGGCCAGGGGGCCCATGTTGGGACTACAGCGTTGCGTCAGCATATGCAGCGTCGCCATTCGGTGGCCTGGGAAAACCGTGATAAAGATACGGCGGTTCTGCCCCCAGCCCCCGCTCCATCACCCGCTCCGTTACTTGCTCCGTCACCCGACGTCAATCGCCCTCTATCAGCCAGTCAAGGCTCCCAACACCTCTGCTGAGGGGGAGTTGTCGCTCGTTGGCATCTTCCGCTCGTTCAGATGCTCCTTCTCCTGCTACTCCTCTTCACGGATTCCGTCAGCAGTCTTTCTTGGAATCCGTTTCCAAGAGACAACAGTTTGCGAGCACGCACCCGACCCGACGGTGCAGAAGCTGAACGTCCTCCTGTCCAAGTTGCTGGTGCTGCAGTCCCTCCCTTTCCAAGTGGTGGTGGACTCAGCACCTTTCCGAGAAATGATGGCTTGTGCCGAGCCGCGGTGGAGAGTGCCAAGCCGGCATTTCTTCGCCAAAAAGGCAGTGCCAGCCCTGCATTCACATGTAGAAGAGATGGTGGGCCAGTCTTTGAGCATGTCGGTCTCTGCCAAAGTGCACGGCAGCGCCGACGTGTGGAGCTGTAACTACGGTCAGGGACAGTACATGTCATTTACGGCCCACTGGGGTGAACGTGGTGCCGGCACAGCCGCACCAGCAACTTGGACAGGTCACGCCGCTTTTGCCTCCACGTTTGCACGTCCTTGGTCCAGCAAAGATGTCCGCCTCTACCACCTCTTCTTCCGCCGTGTCCTCAGCCGCCACCCCCGTGCCAAGTCCCATTACCCGACCGGCATATCACATGTGCAGGGCGCAACGGTGTCACGCTGTGCTGCACCTGGTATGCCTTGGCGAACGTAGTCACACAGGGGAGGAACTTCTGAGTGTAATGAACAGAGAAATCGACAGATGGCTGTCTCCGCGCAAACTGAAAATCGGAACCATGTTGACCGACAACGGAAAAAGAACATGGTGTCTGCTCTGCGTCAAGGAAGGTTGTGCCATGCGCCATGCATGGCTCACGTGTTCAATCTGGTTGTCAAGCGGTTCCTAAAATCCACCATCCCACTGCAAGACATCCTTAAAATGTCACGTAAACTTTGCATGCATTTCAGCCATTCCTACACCGCAAAGCACACCCTCCTTGAGCTGCAGCGGCAGAACGGAATTCCACAGCATCGCCTGATCTGCGACGTTTTGTTGCAACAAGGTGGAATTCAACCCTACATATGTTAGACCGCCTTTACGAACAGCGAAAGGCCATCACCGATTTCCTGATGTTACAAGCGGATAAAGGTACTCCCCTGTGTAACTTAGATGTCAGCCATTGGCAGCTCATGCGTGACACCTGCCGCTTGCTCTCAGGCCCTTTGAGGAGGCCACGCTATTCGTGAGTCGGCAGGACTATGGGATGAACGACGTCATTCCTCTGTTGCACGTCCTGGAACAAATGCTGTTAACAATGGCTGGTCAGGGTGCGGTAGACGTGGCGCACAGATCTCAACGCCACATGACCCCTGTGGGGGCAGGACAGGAAGAAGAGGAGGAGGAGGTAGAGGAGGACATTGGTGCTCAGGAATTATTGAGTGAAATGGGTGGTTTTTCCACTCAGCGGACAGGAGTGGAGGAGCAGGAGCATCTGGTAGAGGAGGAGGAGACAGAGGACCCAGACGCACCGTGGCAGTATGCTGTGGAGATGGAGGCAGGGAGTCCCTCGCATTCCTTGGCACAAATGGCCCATAGCATGCTCGGTTGCTTGCGTAGCGACAGCCGAATAATAACCATCAGACAGAGGGATGACTTTTGGCTGTCCACCTTGTTGGACCCTCGCTACCGTTCAAAAATGGTGGCCTTTTTCACACCTGCTGAGAGGGAGGCCAAAATAACGTACTATAAAAACCACCTATGTAGTCAGTTGGTCTCTGCCTTTCTGCGCCAACGTCCATCCTCAGACACTGTGGGCCCTGTGCGCTCGCGTTCCGCTGCCATGGCAGCAGGGGAGGGGTGGGGTGGTAGGAGCAGTGGCAGCTCCACCAGCAGCGGCTGCCTCAGTCTGCAGTCGATGATGAGTAGCTTTCTTCACCAGCGCAGTGAGGAAACTACTAACCAGCCGCAGCAGCAGCAGCATCAGGTGGACCTGGAGCAGGACCTCAAACAACAGGCTTGGGCCTACTTGGACAGCACCCTGCCAACCGAGGTAGACAATCCCCTTGACTACTGGGCAACGAAACTTGACCTTTGGCCCCAACTAGCTGAATTTGCCCTTGAAAGGCTGTCATGCCCGGCCAGTAGCGTGGCATCGGAGCGCGTGTTTAGTGCGGCAGGAGGTATTGTAACTCCGCGGAGGACACGACTGTCCACCCAAAGTGTGGAGAGACTCACGTTTGTGAAAATGAATCAGGCGTGGATTAGTCTGGATTTCAAACCACCAGTTCCTGACACAACTGACTAAATCCGCCATGAATCATGCCCCAAACATGTTATTATTTTTAACATAGGCCTCTGTATGGCCTTCAATTTAAGCTGCTTACGCTTCGCCACTCTGCCATGGGCCCCTGTACCGCCTCCTCTTGCTGCTGCCAGGTCCAGAGTGTGTCATGGGTCCCTGTACGGCCTCCCATTGCTGCTGTCTCCATCGCCACACTCTGCCATGTGCCACTTTCAGGTCTCCTCACACTGCTGGTGGGTTCCATTTTGTCATAGGGTGCTGGCAGATTACGGGCCTCCCATTGCTGCTGCCAGGCCCGTAATCTGCCATGGGCCCCCGTACCGACTCCTCATGCTGCTGCCAGGCCCGTAATCTGTCTGTCATGGGCCCCTGTACCGCCTCCTCATGCTGCTGCCAGGTCCAGAGTGTGTCATGGGTCCCTGTACGGCCTCCCATTGCTGCTGTCTCCATCGCCACACTCTGCCATGGGCCCCCGTACCGACTCCTCATGCTGCTGCCAGGCTGTAATCTGATTACGGGCCTCCCATTGCTGCTGCCCCCGTGTGCCGCCTCCTCATGCTGCTGCCAGGTCCAGAGTGTGCTCATGGGTCCCTGTACGGCCTCCCATTGCTGCTGTCTCCTCCCATTCGCCACACTCTGCCATGTGCCACTTTCAGGTCTCCTCACACTGCTGGTGGGTTCCATTTTGTCATAGGGTGCTGGCAGATTACGGGCCTCCCATTGCTGCTGCCAGGCCCGTAATCTGCCATGGGCCCCCGTACCGACTCCTCATGCTGCTGCCAGGCCCGTAATCTGTCATGGGCCCCTGTACCGCCTCCTCATGCTGCTGCCAGGTCCAGAGTGTGTCATGGGTCCCTGTACGGCCTCCCATTGCTGCTGTCTCCATCGCCACACTCTGCCATGTGCCACTTTCAGGTCTCCTCACACTGCTGGTGGGTTCCATTTTGTCATAGGGTGCTGGCAGATTACGGGCCTCCCATTGCTGCTGCCAGGCCCGTAATCTGCCATGGGCCCCCGTACCGACTGCCTCATGCTGCTGCCAGGCCCGTAATCTGTCATGGGCCCCTGTACCGCCTCCTCATGCTGCTGCCAGGTCCAGAGTGTGTCATGGGTCCCTGTACGGCCTCCCATTGCTGCTGTCTCCATCGCCACACTCTGCCATGTGCCACTTTCAGGTCTCCTCACACTGCTGGTGGGTTCCATTTTGTCATAGGGTGCTGGCAGATTACGGGCCTCCCATTGCTGCTGCCAGGCCCGTAATCTGCCATGGGCCCCCGTACCGACTCCTCATGCTGCTGCCAGGCCCGTAATCTGTCATGGGCCCCTGTACCGCCTCCTCATGCTGCTGCCAGGTCCAGAGTGTGTCATGGGTCCCTGTACGGCCTCCCATTGCTGCTGTCTCCATCGCCACACTCTCTGCCATGTGCCACTTTCAGGTCTCCTCACACTGCTGGTGTGGGTTCCATTTTGTCATAGGGTGCTGGCAGATTACGGGCCTCCCCATTGCTGCTGCCAGGCCCGTAATCTGCCATGGGGCCCCCGTACCGACTCCTCATGCTGCTGCCAGGCCCGTAATCTGTCATGGGCCCCCTGTACCGCCTCCTCATTGCTGCTGCCAGGTCCCCAGAGTGTGTCATGGGTCCCTGTACGGCCTCCCATTGCTGCTGTCTCCATCGCCACACTCTGCTCTGCCATGTGCCACTTTCAGGTCTCCTCACACTGCTGGTGGGTTCCATTTTTGTCATAGGGTGCTGGCAGATTACGGGCCTCCCATTGCTGCTGCCAGGCCCGTAATCTGCCATGGGCCCCCCGTTGGTGGGTTCCCGACTCCTCATGCTGCTGCCAGGCCCGTAATCTGTCATGGGCCCCTGTACCGCCTCCTCATGCTGCTGCCAGGTCCAGAGTGTGTCATGGGTCCCTGTACGGCTCTCCCATTGCTGCTGTCTCTCGCCACACTCTGCCATGTGCCACTTTCAGGTCTCCTCACACTGCTGGTGGGTTCCATTTTGTCATAGGGTGCTGGAGATTACGGGCCTCCCATTGCTGCTGCCAGGCCGTAATCTGCCATGGGCCCCCGTACCGACTCCTCATGCTGCTGCCAGGCCCGTAATCTGTCATGGGCCCCTGTACTGCCTCCTCATGCTGCTGCCAGGTCCAGAGTGTGTCATGGGTCCCTGTACGGCCTCCCATTGCTGCTGTCTCCATCGCCACACTCTGCCATGTGCCACTTTCAGGTCCTCCTCACACTGCTGGTGGGTTCCATTTTGTCATAGGGTGCTGGCAGATTACGGGCCTCCCATTGCTGCTGCCAGGCCCGTAATCTGCCATGGGCCCCCGTACCGACTCCTCATGCTGCTGCAGGCCCGTAATCTGTCATGGGCCCCTGTACCGCCTCCTCATGCTGCTGCCAGGTCCAGAGTGTGTCATGGGTCCCTGTACGGCCTCCCATTGCTGCTGTCTCCATCGCCACACTCTGCCATGTGCCACTTTCAGGTCTCCTCACACTGCTGGTGGGTTCCATTTTTTCATAGGGTGCTGTATGGCCTCCCATTGCTGCTGCCTCCACCGCCACACTGTGGCTCCACACTCTGGTTTTGGCCCCGTGACTGCCCAAATGAGTGAAGTGTGCGGTGATTCTAAGATCGACGGCACTCATCTGCATGTCATACTGACTGACAGTATTATTTCTCTTCCCCAGCAGACTCCAAGGGCATTTAAATTAAAGGTACAGTGTTCTGCACTAATATAAAGGCTCTCTGAAGCCTAGAAACACCCTTTTTATAAGTTAAATTCGCAGCGAATATATTCGACTCAAATCAAATTTATTCCGCAAATTCGCCGAATCAGCCAAATCGAATTTTTGAATAATTCGCTCATCTCTAATCTCAACCATGACCCCCCCCCACGCACACACACACACAGCCTACAACTGCATCAAATAATGCGTATGATCAATTTCCCAGGGTCTAAATACCAGGCGAGCAGGTGTGTAAGGCTACATTCATGCTTGAGCGACTTGTAGCTCAAAGCTCCAAAAGCGCTCAAACTTAAAAAATCTATTATTCTCTATGGTGCTTGTTCACGGGATCAACTGATTTTTTTAAGTTTGAGCGTTTTTGGAGCTTCGCGCTTCAAACCGCTCAAATGTGAATGCAGCCTAAAAGCCTCACTATCATCCTATACATGTCTTTCTTTTGTTTCTGTATAAGGCTCCATGTACACGGGGCGTTTTAATAACGCTGGTAACATTAGCTGTGTAAAGTCACGTTTAAAAACTGGAGTTTTTCAGTGTTTTTGTATTAGCGTTTAGCTGCTTTTTTTGCGTTTGTGTGTTTTTTGAGGAATTTAGAGGGTTTTTTTTACAAAAAAAAAATGTTCTTAGTCAAAAAAAAGTCCAAAAATGCTGGTTTGCCATGATTTACAGCATTTTACCATGTTTTGCAGTGTTAGAGCATTTTTACAGCTAAAAGTCTCCTCTAAAAACCCACTAGTTTTTTTTTCTCCAGCCAAAAAAAGTCCCTGCCAAAAAACGTTGATTACAGTCTATGTGTGCTTGGACACATAGGATAACATGCTGGGGAGTTTACTGGCTGTAGAAAAAAACGTCAAAACCCAAAAACAGCCGCTGTAAAAATGTCTAGTGTGCATGAGGACTTAAGCTGAAGCACTCAGCCGGCTCTAGTACCTCCCCACACACTGTAGGCGGCTCCACTTGCAGGGAGATCCAGTGGGGGTGTTGGCTTTCACACTACACCCCAGGCACCTGCATCTCCCTTGTCCCCATCCTGCACTCAGTGGGATCTGCTCAGGTGATCATATCTGTGGGAACTGTTGGGAGACAAGCTGTCACTTGTAAACACAGAAGCTGTAATTCTGTGTTTACAAGTGATAGTGGTGAGCAGATAGTAGAGGGCCTGAGCCAGAGGTGGTGGAACTGTGTTCCACCAAGTTCCAGATGAAAAAAAGCCTGGGTAATAGTAAGAAAAACGTAAATTCAAACACAATATTTAAAAAAGTAAAATCTCCTTTAATACAATTATTTATTTAATTGTACTTATTTATAACCATTCCCATTACCGCTTTTATTTAGACGTGTCTGCTATTTGTAGCGTATTTGTTGCCTTGGAGCAGAAATAGGTTTTCCAGGACAGGGGAGTATGTCCATGGGAGTGAAGCTGTTAATGAGCCATTTCAACTGTGATTGTACCCTAGGGACTGTAACCAAGAAGCAGAAGGTATATTTCCAGCTGAATCATCTGCTGGTTGTTCAGGCTTCCCTGGCTGTTGTGCATAGGGGCTGTGGCTTGCCACAATGTCTGTCACATGGTAAGGATATAATTGGAATATGATCCCTGGGGTATGATTGTACCTGTATGAGGATTATTCATTACAAAGGGGAGATCTGTAAACCACAAACAAAACACACAAGAAGGTCAAGGAAAACAACCTTTAAGACTTAAACCTCGTCATCTGTTGTTGTTTATGGACAATTAAGCTGATGAGTAATGCATGAAATGCATTGGCAAGTGGCAACCAATAAGCAGTAATCCTCAGCTGGAAAGAATTAATCTCTTTGCACTTACTCTCCAAGGGGTGATTTACAGCTCTTAGCTTTGTTATGTGCAAGAGAAAAGATGTTTTAAGCCTAAGCTCTTATCTAAAAATTAACTGCACTGATATGATGTGTAAAGCTGAAATGGGGTGTTTTTTATTATGTAGTATATATGGCAAGACTTTCCGGAGCAACCTGTAAGGCCAGGTTCACATATGTGCGGCCGTGCGGTCCGTGATTTATGGGGCACGAGAGCCCATTCATTTGAATGGACTCCCGTGCCCCTGGACACGCAGGGAAGAAGTCCCTGCACTTCTTCAGAAATCGCAGCCCACACGGGAACTGAGGTTTACAGTGCGGTTGCGATTTCCAGTGCAGGCGGCGTGCCATTAGAATTAATGGCACCAGCATTCCTCTCTGTGAATGGTGAGGCTGCAGGTATTTGTGCGGATCCCAGAGCAGCATCATCCGCACAGATTTGAACTAAGTGTAAAGCCTGATACACACAGACTGAACGTTGGCCATATTGGCCAGTTCAATAGAAACCATCCAAAATTTGACCTGTGTCTGCAGTAACCTGTCCGACAGAAAATAGTCTGATGACCAGGTTTTATCAAAGGACATTCTGGAAAACCAGAATCTGATCAGCACTTGCAGCCAATGGCTGCGAGCGCTGATAAGTGTGTTCTGGCTGGCGGGGCAGTCCCCTTGTCAGAACACAATAGCTCATCACACTAACGTTACTTAGTACAGTAGCCCATTGGGTTGAAAGAAAAAACCTCTCCGTGTGTATCCAGCTTTTAGTCAACTGTAGATGGCTTGTATTATGGCAGATTCTTGCTAAATTGGCTGAAATTCGACACGGGGTGGTCCTGCAAGGCACAACTCAAATTGACAAATTCAATCTAAAAATCAGTTGAGATGGGTACAATAATTATCAGCTGAACAGTGACTACAACCTATCAGATGCATTTACTGTTTGGCATCACTATTGTATTTAGTAGCCAGAATACAATATCCCATAGTGGAGTATCTTCCATCCAAACTGATACTGTGGATGGGGTAAGCAAGCTGCGCATAGCTTATATTTTGAGCATTCTATAGTATCAATATGGACTTGTGAATTTCTTGGACAAAAATTTTGTCCAATTGCCATGCCAGTGTTTACAATTCAACGTTTTCAGTATGAACATGTGCATTACAATAGGTACAAATTTTCCACATTTACAATTAGAATTTTATTCATTCAAGTAAAATGTTTTATTCTTCTCCTTCAATTTTACTACTTACTAAAGTCAATTTGATCCCACTAAAGTGGAACTAAAGGAAGCAAAACGTACAGCTGCTTCAATGGTCCAACATCCCTTGCTGGCACCAGCATCTTCAGCATGGCTTCTTCTGGGTTCTGGGCTGTGAACGTCTTCATTGCCCGGGGCGGGACAACATACAGTGGGGCATAAAAGTATTTAGTCAGCCACCAATTGTGCAAGTTCTCCCACTTAAAAAGATGAGAGAGGCCTGTAATTGGCATCATAGGTAGACCTCAACTATGAGAGACAAAATGAGAAAAAAAATCCAGACAATCACATTGGCTGATTTGGAAAGAATTTATTTGCAAATTATGGTGGAAAATAAGTATTTGGTCACCTACAAACAAGCAAGATTTCTGGCTCTCACAGACCTGTACCTTCTTCTTTAAGAGGCTCCTCTGTCCTGCACTCATTACCTGTATCAGTGGCACCTGTTTGAACTTGTTATCAGTATAAAATACACCTGTCCACAACCTCAAACAGTCGCACTCCAAACTCCACTATGGTGAAGACCAAAGAGCTGTCGAAGGACACCAGAAACAAAATTGTAGACCTGCACCAGGCTGGGAAGACTGAATCTGCAATAGGCAAGCAGCTTGGTGTGAACAAATCAACTGTGGGAGCAATAATTAGAAAATGGAAGACATACAAAACCACTGATAATCTCCCTCGATCTGGGTCTCCACGCAAGATCTCACCCCATGGGGTCAAAATGATCACAAGAACGGTGAGCAAAAATCCCAGGACCACACGGGGGAACCTAGTGAATGACCTGCAGAGAGCTGGGACCAACGTAACAAAGGCTACCATCAGTAACACACTACGCCGCCAGGGACTCAGATCCTGCAGTGTCAGAAGTGTCCCCCTGCTTAAGCCAGAACATGTCTGGGCCCGTCTGAAGTTTGCTAGAGACCATTTGGATGATCCAGAAGAGGATTAGGAGAATGTCATATGGTCAGATGAAACCAAAATAGAACTGTTTGGTAGAAACACAACTCGTCGTGTTTGGAGGAGAGAGAATGCTGAGTTGCATCCAAAGAACACCATACCTACTGTGAAGCATGGGGGTGGCAACATCATGCTTTGGGGCTGTTTCTCCACAAAGGGACCAGGACGACTGATCCATGTACAGGACAGAATGAATGGGGCCATGTATTGTGAGATTTTGAGTGCAAACCTCCTTCCAACAGCAAGGGCATTGAAGATGAAACGTGGCTGAGTCTTCCAACATGACAATGATCCCAAACATACCGCCCGGGGCAACGAAGGAGTGGCTTCATAAGAAGCATTTCAAGGTCCTGGAGTGGCCTAGCCAGTCTCCAGATCTCAACCCCATAGAAAACCTTTGGAGGGAGATGAAAGTCTGTGTTGCCCAGCGACAGCCCCGAAAAATCACTGCTCTAGAGGAGATCTGCATGGAGGAATGGGCCAACATACCAGCAACAGTGTGTGCCAACCTTGTGAAGACTTACAGGAAACGTTTGACCTCTGTCATTGCCAACAAAGGATATATAACAAAGTATTGAGATGAACTTTTGATATTGACCAAATACTTATTTTCCACCATAATTTGCAAATAAATTCTTTCCAAATCAGCCAATGTGATTGTCTGGATTTTTTTTCTCATTTTATCTCTCATAGTTGAGGTCTACCTATGATGCCAATTACAGGCCTCTCTCATCTTTTTAAGTGGGAGAACTTGCGCAATTGGTGGCTGACTAAATACTTTTTTGCCCCACTGTAACTCCTGTGCATGTGCATAGCCTCTGTGCCAGAATGTACACTGTGTTAAGTTTGCACAGCCCAGTGCACATTCCAAAGAAGACCATGATCAGACAGGTAGGTTTGTTTATTGCAGAAGAAAAATTGCAATAAAGAGCCTGTATG